GCAGATCTCCTTCCCCACTGCAGTGGCAGGAACGGAGGCAAGGAACGTCCCGGCTGGCGCTGGGGAGAGATTATTCCCCATTCTCCTGCATTGTGCAAAATGGGGAGGCTCCCGTCAGTGCTCCCCGCCTGCCGGCACCCCCCGCCAGCCCCAGGTATCTGGGCGGTGCTGGGTGGCCTCCCGCGCCCTATGCGACTGCACCTCTCCCTTCCCGCAGCCACCCTGACTCACACATGGGATGAGGCTGGGCTGAGGCTCACGCTCCCGGCTCCTGCTCTGCCGGGGGAACAGGGCAGAAGGAGAGGCTGGGGCTCCTCGGGGAATCAGGAGCCCTGCAGACATCAGGCAGCCGGGCACGGAGCAGCTCACCCTGCTCCCCACCCGCTGTTGCTGGCATGAACCATGCACCACAGCCCAGGAGCAAAGCAGGGCTAAACCTGCAGGGATCTTCCTGCCACGCTGTATGTGCTGCCTGTCCTTAAAATGCCCCAGCAGGTGCCACATGTTCTTGCTGCCTTGGGGCCGAGTAAGGAGAAAGCTCCAGTGACCCCTTTGAGATGGTGCCAGGGCATTTCTCTTCCTGGGCGGAAAGCAGGTCACCAGGGCTCAGCAGGTCCAGGCAACGGCTGGTTGACATCGCTTCCACCATGCTGGCATCCCTCCCAGTGCCCTGGGACACAGCCACCAAGCCCCACTGGCAGCATGCACCCTGAAACGAATGGTTTCCCCTTTCCTTGCCCTAATCAAGGGAGCTGAAAAATCCGAGTGGAAAAGAAAGGAAGAGAGAAGAAGGCGCCTCTCTGGCAGGTGCTGGAGGCAGGGCCTGGAGCCAAGCTGGTCTGTTGCTTCTGCAGTTGCCTAACCAAGCCAGTAGGGCAGCCTGCACCTACCCCCCAGTCCCCCTGGGATAGGATTCAGCTTCCCTAGGGTAAGGAAAATCAGGCAAACAAAGCAGTCTCCTCAAGCGGGATGTCTCCCTCTCCAGGCAGCAGGGAAGCTGCAGAGCACGGACCCTGCGAGAATTTTCCCCTTCCAGAACTATGCAAAAACCTCCTGGTTTTTTCAACAGGGCTCAAAATTGTTTGAAGTCCAGGCAGGGACCAAGCTGGAATCTGGGTAGAAAGTGCAGGGGGCTGTCATCATCAGTGCCCAGCCCCCTGTGCCATGGAAAGCCCAAGACCCTCTCCATAGCAGGGATCTGCAGCCCAGTAGCCAGCACAATGGGAGGATTTCATGCTGTGCAGTGTGTTTTCCCCAAGGCTACACTTTGGAAGACAAGAGGAGCAAGAGGAGCTGACACCCCTCCAACTTCAGCTTTGTCTCCAGATGGCTCTTCCACTTAGTGCCAAAAGAAACGAAAAACAATGCAAGCCCTTGAGTCCTGGGTCAACCACTGCAGAACTGTTAATCCCAGAGCTGCATCGCCCTGTCTCTGCCATTTGTGTTTGCCACCCTGTCCTCCAGAAGCTCAGCAGATCAGTCTTTTCCTTCCAGCGGAAGCTCCTTCATTAATTACCCCAACATTCCTGAAACAGGGAACGCAAATCTATAACCTCTTCTCTCTGTTGATGCAGATATTGAAGTATTTGACGGGGAGGGAGCAAAGCTTCAAATCCACACTCCAAAGGTTGCTCTTCAGGTGTGCAGCAGGAGAGCTCATGGAGAAATCAGTGCATTGCAAATGGGCTCAACCAAAAGCCACACTGGAACAGTTAAACAGCATTTTCACCTGTGTCTTCTTACAGTGACAAGCCACCTTTAGTCTAGAAAGTCGGCTTTGTGGCCAATTTTGTTCTAACTCTTCCACAGTCTCCCTCCATCCTTCAAACCCAAAATTTCATACCACCAACTACAAAAATGCTCTCTGGCCACCCCACAAACATGGTTTCTTATATGGTTTTCCTCTGCCTCACCTTCCCTGATGCAAACTTTTCCAACAGTCAGAAATCAGAAAGAAGAAGGGGAAACTCATGGGGAAAAAAGATAAAATGAGGAAAGAGGAGGAAAAATACCAGGTTTGCCTTCTTGGTATGGTAAAGGAAAAGAAGTTCACAGAAAAATCGAAGGCACAGGATTGACCCTCACAAGGGTAAGCGAAACTACAAAGTTATCCACAGCATATCTTTTACAGGATTATCTGACACTGCTTATTTCCTTGCTCCTCTTCATGGCAATGAAAGCTGTAGAGTCCATACTTTTGTAAGACGGAAGTGGGGAAAAGAAATTGCTAAAGATAAGATAAAGGTATCTAGAGGAAAGAAAAACTGTGCTTTCCTGCTGTTGAACCCAGAATGGTCTCTCCTTGCAGGGCACTGAGCTCTGTTACACTCCTCTTGTTTTTTACAGGTAAAAAGGCTTTCAACACAGTCAAATACTTAGCCCTGAATGACCCAACAGGGAGGCACCTTGCCCAGTAGTTTGCAACCATAAAACCACCTGAAACCAGCAGTGGTGAGTGCAAAGCGGGCTATCATCTGCGCGTAAAGCAAAAAATCACAGCCAATATGTAACAGGTCAGAAAAGCAGCAGCCATCTGCACCTGAGTGGGATGAAACCTGCACCAAGCCACTTTCTAGTACCCAGGGGATTTACAATATGTGCATACAGGGGGAGGAAGAGAGATGTACATTTGGGGGCAGAACAGGCCAGTGGGACACCTTTTGTTTTCCTCATAAATCATGCATGCACCACTACCCCTGCTTTGTACGGAGTAAGCTGAGACATAGCATGGCTGTGGCCAAGCAACAGGATCTGGACAGGTCAGTCTCTTCCTCCAGATGCACAGCTAACTGTGCACGCTTTCATTTCAGGAGAGCACCACAGCATTGCTGACAAGCAAGAGACACGGGCTGGCATCAGTCAGCTTCCTAAACCAGACCCGATGGAGGGAAACTGCCCTAGCCTGAAAGTGGCACAGGCAAACCCCAGGCACTCAGAGCCCAGCATGCAGAGTCACTCCAGCTTGGCTGAATCAGGCCCATAATAAGCAAGCAAAATCATAACATTTTCATAAAAGTAGGATTTAAGTACAAACATCTGCCCTGCTGGTTTTTAATTCTCAGCCTATAGCTAGGCATTCGTTTCAGGGATGCACGGTTCCAGCTGCAGAAATGCCATGCGGATTCTAATTATGGCAGCTAGTTTGTTTAACAGACTTTGACATTGTTTGACATTCAGCTGAGTCACCTTGTTCCCCGGTAAAGCAACATGGGCTTTTCAGTGGTTCACCAAGAGGGAGGCAGAGATTCGATATCAAAAGTAGGACGTATATCACAAAAATTCTAAATTAAATACAGCTGAGGTCTATTCTCTTCTGGCAGCTTCTCTCTTTGGGATACTAAGTCAATCCAAATGTTTTCCAGATATAATTCTTCCCCTCACGGATATGCAGCAGTGCCATCTCCCTCATGTTGTTGGAGGGTGGGAGGGGTAGGAAGTGTTGTAATGGGCATATGGGATGTATCTCATCCTCTGCAAGTATCACCCGCCCATGTATCAGGACATCCATCACTAAGAACTGCACACAGGCTGAGCATCAGTCGCTTGCATTCAGCCAACGTTTTTTCTAGGACAAAGTAAAAGAAATGGGCCATCAATGCTCAATCCAGAAGGAACAACCATCACCTGCAGACAGAGATGTTCCTGCAGCACCTCACCTAAAGCTGTCTGTACCCCTGTATGGTGCTTTTCAAGAATCTCAAAATGGTTTCCAGCAAGAAAGGCAGACCAGCACTATCCATCCTCATCATACAGAGGTATCACAAAGTGACGTGTCTGTGAGCTTGTTGGTGGCACAACTGGAAAGAGAGTTCATGCTTGGACCACTCTCCTCATGCCAGGTTGGAAATGGAGGCCAACACCACCTCTCCCTGTCTGCAGAGAGTCTGGATGCAGCATAGGGCATTGCAGGGAGCAAACCCCAGTCCTGGGGCTGCTTTCCAGAAGGCCCGTGGAAGCTGCTAGGCTGCCCTACTGCAGCTCCAATGCTTGTGTCACGTATCTGTGCTGCTGCTTTCCAAGTCCCTGCTTCCTTGCTAGCCCTAGAACTGTGTTCAATACACATCTGGAGCAGCTGCTCTGCCTGCAAACAGTGTTGGGGACCGCAGCACTCTCCTGGAGAGGACTAAACCTTCCCATCCCAGCTTCTCTTTACAGACATTTGGGGAAGAGCTGGGATCTCCTGTTTATAGTTAAAGACAGAAGGAACCTTTTCAGAGGCTGAAAATACTCCACTTATTCTGGCAGTCAGCACAGCGATCTAAACTTCAAACCAACAGCCAGAACCGTGCAGTCAGACAATAGCAAGCTGGCCCGAGTGTGCGTTTCCAAGAGCATGCTGTGGTCTGGCTCATCTCCCCCATGCCATCCCTGCAGTCACTGCTGGAAGAAGCTGTGTGGAAGTGTGTGCCATTACCCTGAGAAGAGGATATCCATCATGTCCAAGCCCTCTCTGAAAGCTGTCAGAGAGACAGTGGCTCAGGCCAAAGAGATGTTTACTTATCTTTCTGGCCAACACTGCAGAAATCCCTGTTTGCATTTAACCTTCTTACAGTTTCCTTTATAACACAGTGGCAACTCTGATTATTCATTCCTTATTGTACAGTAACAATACCTGCAGAGCCACAGCATTAAGAAACAAAACCAACGGTGTCTCTGGTCTCCAGTGGCCTTGAATTGGCAGCCCAAGCTCAGACTGGGGGGCTGCCAGGCTTTCACCCCACAGGCACAGCCCCCCAGAAGCCATTGAATCCCTTTGTGTGGCAGGGCAGGAACCAACCTGAACCTCAACAGCTGATGCAAGATCCCCTGGGAGCCCTAAACACCATGCCAGTTATTTTAGGAGGAGGTGGAGGTCTGGTATCACAAGGCTGTATATACGAGCTCCCAGGGAAAAGGCATTTGTAAGAGTGGTCACAAAAAGTACTAGAGACTGTGGTTGGGGAACTGAAGTCCCCAACTGCTCTCACCCATCTTATTTAGGGCTTTCCCCACAGCATTACCTGGTAGAAAAGGGATGATCCTTTGCTTGGGATCTTTCTGGCCTCCTTCAATAGGGAACTTGTCCAGAAGCTGCATCTGCAAAGGAAAAAGAGGAAAGGTCTTAGGGGGAAAACATGGCCTGGCTGTGTAGGGACCAGGGGATCTCTTGGTCTGTGTGTGGTTCAAAAGATGATTAGCAAAGCAAAGCAACTGCAGGAAACACTCTGCCTCGTTGCGGGGGAGTCTGTACATTAAAAGGTACGATACACTTCACTCCAAAGAAAGGGAGGGCAAGTTTCTGGCAGCACAGAGGAGCTGGGACAGGGCCCAGGCAGACATCTGAGCCTGGCCTCGCTGCTGTTCTAAAATTAGGCTCCTATTCTTCGTTACAGAACACAACGCCTTGCCTCTAATCCACAGCCTGCCCGCACTGGTGGAGACACAGTTTTCACCTGTCCGTGTGACAGGCCACCCACCTGGCTAAACATGCTGTCCAAGCAGATGGATTAATGTGTGTTTAATAAAACACCTACTCTGCCCTCCTGCTGGCAAGGCACTGCCCGCTGCCCTGGTCCATCAAAGCACTCCTGCTTTCCCAGGGAGAGAGATAGGAGTTTTGGAAGGATCTTCCACTGCAGTCTCTACACGGAGACAGCAGCAGGGAAAGGAAGAAAGGAGGAAGGAGAGCAGAGCATCCCAGAGAATGCCACCAATAGGAATGGTCAGAAAGCAAAACTCAAGGTGGGTGTGCTGCTCATGACAAGCAGCCTCCAAAGCATGGTTATGGACAGAGTTTTGCCCACATCAGCTAAGATCTTACCCCACCAGCTCCTAAGCCCTGTCCACCACAGCCATCTGTTTCTAATACGTCCCTAAGGCTGACTAGGCTCAGGATTCTGTTGTACCACAGAACTGCAATCAGCCTTCAACCTGAGGAACTCAAAGGGGTATTGATGGCTTATGGTCAGCTTGCACAGTGGAGCAGCCTGCTGACCACCAATGACTTTCTATGGAAGCAAGCCTAGGGAAGCAGTATGCTGACCTGATGTTCCTAAATGAGCCCTGTAATTTGTCTATGGGTGATGAGCCCAGAGTGACCAGTGCCACTGAGGCTGAACACCACTGAAAAGCCAAACACAGCCTCAGCCAGGAAGAAAAGAAGCTCTCCATTGGCACCTTCATGGACCTGTCCAAGAGAGACTGTCCTCAGCCTGAAAACTGACAGAGCCTCTCACCCCTCACATTCACCCTCTGCATTCTTTCACTGTTATTCACCCCATGGTGCTACCAAGATAAATACTCAAATCTTCATATTCTATTACATTTTCTCCCATGTTTCAGATGTATGATGCAATGTTCTATGTCCCTGCTAATCCTACACAGCAGCCCCGGCTCCAAATACCTTGCCAGCCCAGTTTCCGATAGTCCAGTAGAGATGTCTGTCAACCCACAGTCCACAGGCCCTCTGTGCAGGATAAGGAAGGAAAGCAAGCAGTCCTGTTACTTGACCTTGCAGACCCCTGTCTCTTCACCTGAACTGGATCTACAGCTCAATACAAACACCTAAAGGGGCAGCTAAAACTGCAGGTGTGGGGGCTCATCAGTGCTACGTGTCCAGCAGTGAGGGTGTGTGAGTTAACAGAGCCTTTGCCAGCTCAATAGATTTTCTTTAAAAAGTATGTTTGTGCTAACATGGGGAAAAAAAACAGTTTTGTTTTGGTTTTTTTTTTTTTACTGTTTTTGTTTTAAGCACACAGGATCCTTCTCTTTCTTCAACCACACCGCAGCATCTCCAGCGTTTTCACCATATGTTACAGCAAACTGAAGATCAAGAGGAAGCTCGGGAGTAGAAGGAACATCTGTGCAGCAGAACAAGTTAAAAGATCCCACTTTTCCCCATCAGGGAGTCAGCCTGGTAAATAAATAGAGCGTAGCTTTGTGGATTGTTACCTAACTCACTTTTCTGCCAACAGAGACATGGGTTTTATTGAAAATGGGAAAATTTGTTTTCTCGGAGGTAGAGCTCCGGGTGCCTGAGGTCAGGCATGTGCAGGAGCGTTGTTCAAAGGGAAAAGAAAAAAAGAGGGGGAAGGAATCCCCACCGATCGACTTGAAGTTTTGCTGTTGCTACACTTTTAGCCAGGAAGCCAATTCTCACTTTACTACACAGTGACTAATTCAAGCTTGGAACCAATACAGTCAAATTCCCATGGTTATTCTTGGAGTTAGATTAGCTTGGCTAATACAAGCCTTTTTAACCACATCAAGAGAGTCACAACGTGTATAACTTAGTGCTATTTATCTAAAGGGTGGATATCAGCAAAATAGATACAATAAACTGCAGCTGGAAGAGTTTGGCTAAGCTTTCCTAGATTACACTTTCCACCCCGGCTCTTGACTCTGGCTGGGAGGGTCTGGATGTCAGGGAGCTGGGGGGGGGGGCAGAGGCACTCACGAGGTCACCAATGCAACTGATGGAGATACAGCCTGTCCCAGTGCCAAGTCCCTGGGAAGCACAGAAGATTTCTCATATTTGATATATAAGACAATATTCCAGTGAGCAACATGCACATGCTTGTGTAAAACTGAAGACAAGGTGTGAAGTTGCTACTTCACTAAAAGGCCATGCAAGGTTGGATACCCATGGAGGAGCGTGACAGTCCTTCTTCAAGCCCCTGACTCCAGAGAATGCTCACTGCTGTCTTGTGGGATAGCCCCTAGACCAACAAGTTGGGCTTGGCATTTCTGCTGCCCCAGCAAGAGACAGGCTGGTTTTGGGCAGCTGTGCTGGACGTTTTGGAGGAAACTACTGGCTCAATTTCAGGCGTGATATGGGAAACCCAACAGATCCTAAAAAGGATCAGAGGAAGGACATAACTGAGGCCCAGCAATTAAACCCCTGCCTCTATTTCTGGCTGTTCTCATTAACACCTAAAAAAGCACTCCCAGCATGACAGTGTCTATATAGATGAGTACTAATGGCAGGGAGAACCTGCAACACAGACTGGAACGTGATGACTGCCCTTCAGCTCCGCAGCACAGGAAACCTCTCATGATGTTAAAGGCAAACAAAGGGCAGCAGAAGCATGGAGCCTTCCTCAGCACTTCCCTGCACCCAGTTCTGCCATTCAAAGCCAGTGCAAGTTAGATCTAAAACTTAGAAAAGCAGGATTCTGTATCCTCTCTTCCATGGAGAAGGATGCAAAGCGGAAAACAAGGAAGAGATGGATGTAGAGGAGGGGAAAAAAACAGGAATAGGTCTGAATGAAACATCTGAGATTTCCCAGAGCTGATGGGGTATCCTAAGCCCCACTCAGCCTAGCTTGGATAAGAGGAGGCACTAACCACGGAGACAAATGGAGCAGCCAGGAATGGAAGGAGATAAGGGCTGAACCACAGAAGCCCCTCCTGGTAGTCACAGCACTTTCCCTACATGGATGATTAACAGCCAAAGAGCAATAAACGGATTTTCAGTTTGCTTAATTAGATGTCTGCAGAGCATCTGAAAGTCAAAACCTCTTTATTCTGTGACAAATGCTTTTCCATTAACAGAAATCATCATTGTTATTATTGCAAATATACATATGATAGATGGAAAAAAAAAATCCTTCACTTAACGCCCCAAGTGATTCTGTTCAGACATGGGCAGTCTCCACAAGCTGTTGCTTACATCTTGAATATGACAATTACGTTAAGGACAAGATGTGCTAATTGAGAGAGTCATCGCATCACCTAGAGTAAAACCATCCCAGCATGAAGGGAAAGAAGGAAAGTCTGGATGCACAGCCCTGGAGGATGGAGCTAGCGCTGTAGGTGGCTTTGGGCAGGCAAGAAATCACAAGTGGGCACTACATTTAGGCAAACCTGGGGAAGCTCATACTCGGTTCATCCGCTTACAAGCACGTGAATCCCACCACAGGAAAGCCTCCAGTTGTATGACCGGTGTGATGAGCAGAAAGAAATCCATTACCCTGTCACTGTGTCACACGGTGGGGGATCTGTTTGGAAACAGGGAGGGTATATGGAAACCAGGAAGTGAGCTTCCCACCCATTTGGGCGGCATGTCTGGAGTCAGGCTGGACAAACACATCCCACCTCCTGCTGCTGCCACAACAGATGCACGTCCACAAATAACTCACTGCAAAAATCACCTCCCAGGCTTTGTCTTTCCAACCTGCTCTGGGTTTGTCAACAGCTTTCCTGCGTAAGTTCTCATGGTGTCCTGCCTTCTGCTCCAAAAAACTTCCTTCTTACTTCTGTGCTGAACTCATTTAGGTCTGCTATAAACCTTGTTGGTCCACATTATGACTTGCTTACAGTGGTCAGCAAATGATCATGCAATTAATCCCATTAAAAATCAAGGGAATTACTTGTGAGTTGCTGCTCATTAAAATAAGAGCAGGCTCAGAGCACTACCCGACTCCACTCCTTCCTAACTGCACATACCCATGAAATCACTTGACTTGCAAGAATGGAATAGGAATTTGGGCTCAGCAATCACAGCTGATGGCTCTGCAGTCACGTCACAAATGTTCTGCTGTGAAGATAAGATTCAGCCCCTCTCTGATTTGCAACGGCATCACCTGATTAACAATCTTAATGAAGAATAAGCACCCCTTGAGAAGCTACAAATAGCATCTCTGAGGATGAGAAGCCAAGCATCTTTCTGACAATTATTTACTTACTACATTTTATTTATTTTCATAAAACATTGTTTTATGTTTTAGATATAAGAATTTACAGCATCTGAGACTAAGGAGACGCTTCTCTTTTGCAAGAGAGGCTTTTACTCTGCTGTAAGCCAACCCGTGCAGGGGACAAGAACATACGACCTGATCCTGTGGCATTTGCCAGCAGGAACTTTGTTTCCAATTTGGTCTCCAGGTTTTGCAAGTCTGTGACTAAACCTAACTCCCTAAAATTAATCCCCTGCAACAGTTACCTAACCTCCACCTATGCCTACCACCACAGACTCTAGCTGGAGCTTCCTGCTGAGCTGTTAGTTCCTCCCCTTCCTTCCTCGCAGCAGCTTTAACTCTCCCCCAGTCAGAAGAGTGAAGTTCTCCACACCTCTTAAAATAAGCAAATTAGGACAC